CTCATCCACAAAGATATATTCACTAGCATGTGAAAAGGATTTCACTACAAATGCTGTCAGCCACAAGCTTCCCACTGGGTCCTTCTCACCAAACACGCTATAGGAAAAGTCTTGATGACGATAATTCAATTGTTGAAGGTATCCTAAAAATATCACAAAAGAAAATCATGAGCAGTAGTTACTCATACATCTACAAGTAAAAAAAACTCTTGATGAAAAAGTTAAGATTCTAGACCCTTTGTTAATTACAGAACATCACTGGTCCATGTAGTTAGCTAGAAAACATCATGGTCATACTGTTAGCTAGAAAACATCAGTGGTTCATACAGTTAGCTAGACAACATCAGTGGTCCATGTAGTTAGCTAGAAAACATCAGTGGCTCATACTGTTGGCAAGAAAACATCAGTGGTCCATGTAGTTAGCTAGAAAACATCACTAGTTCATACTGTTAGCAAGAAAACATCATAGTATAGCTAACAGTATGGACCTTTGATGTAGTATAGCTAACAGTATGGACCAGTGATGTTATCTAGCTAACGATATAGACCTTTGATGTTGTCAAGCTAACAGTATGGACCAGTGATGTTGTCTCGCTAATGGTATGGACCACTGATGTTATCTAGCTAACAGTATAAACCTTTGATGTTGTCTAACTAACTACATGGACCAGTGATGTTTTCTAGCTAACTACATGGACCACTGATGTTGTCTAGCTAACTACATGGACCAGTGATGTTGTCTAGCTAACTACATGGACCACTGATGTTTTCTAGCTAACTACATGGACCACTGATGTTTTCTAGCTAACAGTATGAACCACTGATGTTTTCTAGCTAACTACATGGACCACCATCAAAGGTCCATACTGTTAGCTATACTACATCAAAGGTCCATACTGTTAGCTATACAACATCAAAGGTCCATACTGTTAGCTATACAACATCAAAGGTCCATACTGTTCACTATACAACATCAAGGGTCCATACTTTTAGCTATACAACATCAAGGGTCCATACTGTTAGTATACAACATCAAAGGTCCATACTGTTAGCTATACAACATCAAAGGTCCATACTGTTAGCTATACAACATCAAAGGTCCATACTGTTAGCTATACAATATCAAAGGTCCATACTGTTCACTATACAACATCAAAGGTCCATACTGTTAGCTATACAATATCAAAGGCCCATACTGTTTGCTATACTACATCAAAGGTCCATACTTTTAGGTATACAACATCAAAGGTCCATACTGTTAGCTATACAACATCAGTGGTTCATATTTGTAGCTATACAACATCAAGGGTGCACACTGTTAGCTATACAACATCAAGGGTCCATACTGTTAGCTATACAACATCAAAGGTCCATAGCATCACTGGTCCATCAAAGAGAACATCAAAGGTCCATACTTTAAGCTATACAACATCAAAGGTCCATACTGTTAGCTATACTACATCAAAGGTCCATACTGTTAGCTATACTACATCAAAGGTCCATACTGTTAGCTATACTACATCAAAGGTCCATACTGTTAGCTATACAACATCAAAGGTCCATACCATTAGCTATACACCATCAAAGGTCCATACTGTTAGCTATATAATATCAAATGTCCACACTGTTAGCTATACAACATCAAAGGTTCATACCGTTAGATAGACAACATCAAAGGTCCATTACTTACAACGGTTTTGAGGCAATTTTCACAAATGTAAAAAAATTACTTTATCCTGATTTTAAACACACATACCTGGAAATAAAAAAAAACATTAGTAATTTTCTGTTAGTGTAATACTAGAGGTAACTTTTCTTGCTTTGACTCTTGAAGAAAACTTTTTAAAATAAAAAAGTTAAAGAAATAATTAATAGAGCCACAACTTAATATTTCAGAGCAGTAGACTTAACAAATAGGAATTATTATTTTCTGATTACATCAGGAAATGCTAAAAAACTACAATTAATACAAATAGAGTAAATTGTAATAACTCCTTGAACATTCAATCACCAATTCATGTCTTTTTGTATGGCCTGATTTTTCTTTCAGCGATATATTTGTTTAATACACGAAACACTTATTAAATGTAACTACCTTAATTATTTATCTAAACTAAATGTCTTTAGCCATTTTCCTAAATTACACACACTAAATCCACCAAAAAGAAGACAAACTTGAAGCACTTAACCAAACACTACACTGTTTTTAATGTGCACGGTCTTTGTCTCTTGGACCAGCCCCGTAATGTAAAAAAAATGTTAACATAATTCCGAATTTATTATGTGTATTTACACAAAAGGTGGCAAGCTTTTAATAAAATGTACATTTCTGTTGTACACAAAAATCAGTTCTGTCACAAATATATTTGTACTCAAGAAATGTCTGACAACATCAGTCTGACAAGTTGGAGTGCAACGTGATGTTCGCATAAAGAATAAAAAATTTTTTTTTCACTATCCACGCACATTGTATCTGATATTTACTTTACCACAAATGGTCACTAAATCAGCAGTGTAGGGTAAAATGAAAAGCTGATAAGTCTGACATCAAATAAATAATCCCATGTTGAACGGCACTCTGTAAAAGGTCACGGCATGTGCACTTTAACCCCCGCCCGTACACATAAAGCTAAACACAAATCCTTCAAAGGTTCATTCATTATTTTATATTTTTTCCGCTTCAACTGTATCTTCAGAACACAAAAGCTTCATTCGATAGGCCCGGGAAACTATTTTATACATTTGTTAGACAAAAAAAGATCAAGTTAAAAGAAAATATTACAAGTTGTAGAAAGTTTACACAATGAAAAGTTGACTGTATTCATATTATTAACTACCACTATTATGTATCACAGGTTTAGTTTTTAATTTAGAATTTATTTCTAATGCTAATCTTAAAATCTGATTATTTACCTATTTAGTATATTTATTTGGAATAATCTCTCTACAACCTAAAAGTTAGTATTTGCACAATCCTGGAACCCTAGTTGTGTTACGAATTGTTTTAAAAAACTGTCACACCAGCTAATTTCTTTCAGAAAATAAAAGGGGAAAATGTGCCATTTGTTCAAACAGATCCTCCTCAGTGGATTATTGTATTTTTCTAACAGGTGACATCATGAGTTCTATTATTGATAGCTTGAGCCATCTTATCCGGTTACCTACAGGATGTGGTGAACAAAACATGGTCAAGTTCGTTCCCAACATCTTTGTGTTGCAGTATCTCACGGTGTCTGGTAACCTAAAAGAAGATGTCCAAAATAGGATTCTGGAAAACCTGAGGACTGGTCAGTATAATTTTCTATGAACAGTAACAACAAAAATAATAAAACATTTCAAAAACTTTTTCGACTATTCTAAGTTTCCAAAAAAGTATGTAAAATGTAACAATAATATTCATTCTTGTTAAAACTATGATTACGTAAACAAAAACTCCTGACATCAGGCCTAAGAATATATATAATTTTCTAAACAGGAAAAAAAAGAATAAAAAACTATCATTACGTTAGGAAGTTAACAAACTAAGTAGTACACGTTAGAAAGTTAACAAACTAAAGTAGTACAAGTTAGAAAGTTAACAAACTAAAGTAGTACACGTTAGAAAGTTAGCAAACTAAGTAGTACACGTTAGAAAGTTAACAAACTAAGTA